AATATGTTCAGAGCATAGCTAGTTGCATATTTATATATTTGTATGATTTGTGATGCAAAATAGATGTGTTGGTTATTATGTATTGGTGTGAATCAATTATCATTGCCTGTATATGAGTAATTGATATCGTGCTTTATGATGTGTTTTTATGTTATGATTTTACATTGTGTTTACCATCCATGAATGTATGAGTATTTCGGTGGGAATGGATACATGATCCATGAAATTTGATAGCCTTATCTGATGATAAGTTATCTTGGTAGTGTGAGTGTATATGCCCAGCAAAATAGTACACCCTCCTCGTGTTTTACAGGAAGCTTTCCGGGTGGGACAACTTCAGTTAGAGGGAGAGTCCTGAGAGTCTGAGAGAGAGAGAGAAGACTGAAGTAAGACTGTTGGTACTGTCAGGGTCGATGGATTGGAGTCGACGGTTCGACGAGGTAGTCGATGGAAAGGGAAGTGGAGGTGGACATGAAATTCGAAGGAGCAAAGAAGGAGTAGAAGTGGAGAGGAAAATTGAAGAAGTAAAGGAGGGGTGCAGGAGAAATTTAGAGAGACAGATGAGTAGAACCAAGGACAGGGCGAAATTCTCACACTGATTCAGATGATGAAATAGGCACAAAACGGTCGAGCGATTGGGAAGCTTGCATGTTGAAATTTTATTATTAATTAAATTGTTTTATTTAATTCACCCCTTTGTACTTTTGTATTTAACTGTTTAATTTCACCCTTTAGTACTTTTGTATTTAACTGTCGGCATTGCTGACTGGGGGCTCAGAACCATATTCACCTACTTAACTTCTGAACCATAATCGAGCCTGGGTGGGTGCCATACCTAAATAAATATTGGAAACACCCCACCCCATTTTCTTATAACCAAAACCATAAACGGGTATAAAAATAATTAATTAAACCCCATAACACTCAAGGGTACAACTAAAACCCTATCGTAACACTATATATTTCATATTAAACAAACACACCTCCATGAAAATAATTGGAGGCTATACCATTTTTGAAACAAAACTTAATCCATTTTTACTAAATGTTGATATGATACTAACTCAGATAATTTCTTTAATCCTACTTTCTTACTTCATAAATATTCAGTAAATATACACTTTCTTTCTCATGTGAATTTTTAACTTCAACAAAATGTCCAAGCAAATTCACAATTAAAATACATATTCAGCATAAACTGCATATGGTTAAGAAAGTAAAAATACACAGTTAACTGAACTTGCAAACAACTCTTTGGTTAAAAAAAGATTTGTAAAGGGTTAAAAGATTACATTTTAGTACAGGTAAGTTTCAAACAGTCAATTTCAATTTGAAATCTAAGTACAAAGCTATCAGTTCTAATCGTTCATAAGTTCTTTACTAAACAGTAAAATTTTTGTAACAGGCATAGCACAGATTACTAACCATAATTACAAAGTAGAAAATATGTTTGTACAATATTATGCCAAACAGCTGTAACACTGGAACAGTGTTGACAGAAATACCTTTCTCCAATTAGTCTGTGCTCTATTTTTACAAACAATAGTTTTTGTGTGACAAATCATGTCCAATGATAAGCCCTGGATCCCACACTTTCAGCTACATTATTTCTCCAGTTAATTATGGACTGCACCTCTAGTCTTTAAAAGTATTTATTACCTCCAGTCTTTGATTTACCTGGCATATTGACTCTATAGATGAGGATTATTTAATCCCTTTCTATCTTTGTTCTGTCAGTGTACACTTTTTGTAATTTGGAAAAATAAATGTGACTGTCATACTACTGGCATAAAGTTAACCACAAAAATATTTTCCACAGTACTTTTTCACTGTACCTGTACTTCAGTAGTTTCGATCAGTATGGAAATTGCTGAGTAATCTTGTTACAAATTTAATGATATTAACATCGTTTTCATTTTACATGATGAAATAATTCAAATTTTTTTTATTTCTTTACAAAAATGGAATTTACCACAAACTAATTTGAATTTTACAAATATAATTACAGGTATATTTATGGTCACATGTTTGACATGTGTCACACGGTGGCCAAATGGAATGTTGCGAAAGGTATTTAGGCCAAATCCAAATTTTGGGAAAACTTTTGGATTCAAAAAATTTTAGACCAAGAAAAGCTACATTTTTAGCACATGTTAATGTGTTAAGTACATATATTTCTTGTTAAGACCAAAACCATCCAAGATTTTCAGGAGAAAAATTGATTTGTTTGAATTTTATGTATTTTATCAAGTCCACTAAATATTTTCTCATTTGTTGAGTGTGTTTAGTCTTACTGACCCTATCTAATAAATATCTTGCTTCCCACTCAAAGTTTTCCTGCTGCTATAACAATAAAGTTGCATGTAAATTGTATGCTTCAGTGTCAACATTTTTAATAATATTGTAAAATAATGGTTGATATTTATACCAAAATTTTAATAATAGTAACATACATGTATATCTGGCTTTTGAACTCTTATTAAGGAATTATTTTTATTATATTACAATTATAAAAAAAATGATAATATTAATATTTCATCTTTTTTTAAATGTCAGTCAAATTACTGGCATGCTAAATGACTTCAAATATGAATTAAACATATTTCTAGGGTTGAACATACTCATATGTTCCTGAATTATTATGGAATGCTTAACACTTACTGTATTTACCGTATATATTGGGACATGATAAAATATTTAATTTTTTCCTGTCCCAGAACTTATGGTGAAACTTTCTTTCACCTATCTCATATGCCCCAAGACTTAAGAAATGAAATAAATTTGTATTATATTGGTGCCCCCCTTAACGGTATGTTGCAATAAAATAGATAACAAAATACTTTTTTGATAATAAATGAATGACACTAATCTTGCATTGTTATCATTTATTCCTTTTTTTTCAACATGATCATTAAAGAATAAAATATATCCACAAAATCCATGTGTGTAGCGTAAGCTTCCATACTGTAGTGTGTATCGCTTATGTCCGATAAACCACATCACATTGTTCTCTGACGTAACATTGAGAAAGGAACTATGTTTGGTTGTGCTCAAAGGTTTGAATGTTATCTGACTCAAAACCAGATCCAACAAAATCACAAACAGAATGGAAATATTAATGCACGACATGGTGTTAAATGCAAAATAATCAAGACTGAATTATATCTAGGTCTACTGTATGACAGTATCTCACAAATAAAAATTATTATTTGAAAACATTCAATTGAGTGTTAAGTGACAATCATTTTGCCAGAATGAGTTATAAAAGTATCATTATTATTTACCTGCAGACATCAGTGCTCCTTTGTATTAATTATAACTAGAGATGCCAAGCACATTATGGGCCCAGGTGGTGAATAAACACCACTTGCAGTGAGCAGTAAACTCCTTCTTTGAACTTACCAACATGACATCAAAAACAAAGGTCATTTTTGTTACAAAGCAAGGCAGCCTCAAAAGCTGATTTTGGTTACAATTTTTTTGTTAAAAGATATCAATACAAAGGTTATTTTATTGCAAAGCAAGCCAACATTGGAAGCCGACTATGGATTCTTTTAAGCGTGCCGATTTTTTCGTGTGTGGGGTTTTTTTTTTAATATACAAAGGCAGTAAAAATAAATGAAAGCAAATTTTGGTTACTTTTTCAACAGTATTCACAGGAATATTGAAAATGAAGTGACAATACAGTGCTTTGTGCATGGACATCGATGACCCAGCATTATTGCCCAGAAGATTTGGAGAAAAAGTCATGTGATGAAATTCATGAAGACCAAAAGAGGCTGACAATAAGAAATTTAAATATATATTGATCACATTCCTGGATGGACGGATTATAAGATGGGGGTCAAAGATGTGAGAATCAGCAAGACTGGAGCAGATTTGAAAAAAAATCTGACTTTAGTCCTTGTAGTTTCCACTTCAGGTGATGTGTTACCCCTGGCAATTTTTCATGGTATGAGAAAGCTAAAAAAAAATATTCATGCTCCAAAAGAATGGATATGTGTGCAGGAGAAGGGTTGTGTCGATGAGAGGCTGCTGCAGTGGATTAAGGAGTTTTATCTCAAGTATACAGTTTTATATTTTTTGTAAATGAAATTTTAGTTGGAGCACATTTTCAGTTGGAGTGCATTTTCTGACATGTAATTTTCAAGTGATTTAAAAGATGTCCCACAACTTGGGAGTTGAAAAAAATGATGTCCAAAAATATACTGTGCATAAAAAAAAATTACTTTTAAATTTAATTTATGGTGTCCCAACAAATATGCTGTCCCAACATATAAGGTAAAAAAAGAAACACTGATACTCTACTTAATTAACTGCTTTATGATTTAGAGAATGCCATCTATGACAGAGAATCTTGTTACTGTGATTTTGTGTTCCTTTGCTATAATGTACCTGTATTCATTACATTGTAGGTATAGATGTACTGATTTTATTTTTTTAACCTTTATCTACAGCACAAACATGCACCTTATTTACTATATTATCCTGTTCCATCTGCTAAAAATAGCATGGCTTTAACCTTGCACTTACCATTGATGAATTTATTTTTCCAAATTACACAAGTTTGTGTTTAATGAATTCTAAGGGTTTGGTTTATGAAGGGATTAAATAATCTTAAGCTTGATTATAATTATTTAATATAAATAATTTTGAAGACAGGAGCTAGGGTACAATTCAAATTGGACCAGAGGAAGATTATAATTACTGTAGTTTCTTTCTATTTTAATCTGGGAGCAGTGTGTGTGTGTCTGTGTCAGTGTGTGTGATTTGGATTTTTAGTGTAGCTTTAACAATTTTTCAGTCATATCACTATGATGACTGCAGTGTGGCAGGTTACATTGATGTCAAGCAATGGGAAATCATGCCACATACATTGTAGCAGGTTGTCCAAACTCAGTCACATTATTCTGCCTCCAAACCGACCATTCCTAATACTAACCTCTTAATGCTGAGTGCCTAGAGAGGCAGCTGCAAGGACTATTTATATGTCTTTGGCATGACTTGGCCGGGGTTCGAACCCATGACCTCCCATATCTGAGGTGGATGCTCTAACCACAAGGCCACCACCCAGCTGTACATTTTCTGAGGTTTACTTGAAAATTTTACCAAAAAACAATGGATATCTGAGGTATTTCCGACGTTTTCCTAGGAAAACCTCGGACATCATCTAGTACATTAAAAATACACCTAGGATACGTAGGGGGCCCTGAGTGGCCGAGTGGTCTAAAGTTATGGATCACTGCCATCTCACCTCTGTCTGTGTTAGTTCGAGTCCAGACTCTGCTAATGTGGGTAAGTGAGAAAGCCTGTCAGTAGCTTCTTGTGGATCTGTGGTTCTTCCTGGGGTTTTCTAGGGTTCTTCCTCCACCATTAATACTGGCAGCCATGTAGAGCCTATCTTGTGCTGAAAAATGGCGTTAAACCCTATAACAACACCACCACCACCTAGAAAATACCTTGGATAAACCTTGGACTTGAGAACTTATATTTTTAGCTTAGAAAAACCTAGGAAATAAGAACTTAGTCATTTTTTAGCTCTGAAAAACCTAGGAAAGAAGAACTTTGTCATTTATTAACTCGGACATATCTCAGAAATGTGGACTTAAGAAAATTTTCTGCTAGCACATGGACTTGGTGTGTTTTATCTGTGCACTTAGAGATTTCTGTATATTTATTCAAAACATTTTTGCCAGTTTATTACAAAGAATGTTTGTCATCCAAAACAACTACCAAGTCTACAATTTGAATTAAATAATAACAATGAATTATTGTTGATTGATTGATTTGAGATTAACATTTCAACATCTCAGTTCAGGCAATGCCAAACAGGAACACAGATTTTTATTTCACATTTCATTTACATGTAGATAATAATGAGATACATAACCAAAACCTATACACATACTTATCCAGTACAGAAATTTCTCATGGATTCCATATGGAATACTTCATGAATCTGTATGGAAGAGATATGGACTAAAAAACTTATTGAATCAGACAATTTATTCCATAAATACCACGAGTATTTCACAGCAAGTGAAAATTCTATATGGAATAAAGTTGCAACTTAAATCTATAAGTAATTTTTTTCCATATGGAATGCAGGCTCATTATAGTCTCATGGAAAATATTCTCTGAATAAATAATTAACTATCTGATTCAAATTGAAATATTGGTGGGAGTTAAAGTACATGTATATATCAGTGTAGGTGATGTGGGAGGATGAATATATACTCATAAATTTGAAGAAAACACATGTACGTCAATTTTCTTTAATTTATTTCCACAGATGTTATAAAACAGGCAGACATGACCAAAAAAGTAGAGAAAATGTAAACATGATCAGAAAATTAATATCTGGTAGTATAAATTTGTATGCACTTAATAAACCAACAAATTCACTATGAAACTTTTTCTACATTCACTCAAATGTCCTTTTTTTCACTAAAATTATCGTATATTAGGCAGTTTTAACCAAAATTTCTGAAAATGTCTGAAATTTTGTGATTGAAATGTCACTGACTACCACCATTTCTGAAAAAATGTGAGAATTTGTGATTGAAATTTCACTTAGGAGTTTGTCAAAAATTCTGAAAATGTAGCGATATTTTATGATTGTAATATCACTGACTTTTAATAAAATTATCAATAAGATGTAATAAATTTTAGTTTTTGTTTCTTGTACAGTCTTAATGATTTTCAGCAACATTTATATTTCCTGTTTCTGATAGCTGTAATTTTATTGTTCATTTTGGACACAATAACTTCTTTCCACACTTTTCCATGTTATATTTCTTTTCCACAATTGTTGTTGTTGTTGTTCTATTTCTATTTAGCTTCAATTGGATTTAACTTGTTTTCCATTTTAAATAAGATTTTCCTCGATATGGACCCTTTTTATAATATCGTCTTTGAAACTTTTTTTATACAATAATGCTCTATCCAGTCCCATTTTGCAATGAGCTTTCTAATAAGTATTGTTCTGTTTTTGTTATTTAACAGATAATAGCTGTAGTTTTTTATTTACATCATCTTTTCAGTATTGCAAAATGCAAAGAATTTGTATTACTTGTGCTTAGATGGTACATAAAATATATTATTCCAACATTTCTCTATTTTTTATTAACTACAAACATTATTAATATATGTCAAAATAAACAATTATTTTTTGATCATGGCAAAATATGAAATATTCCTTTTCTACAAATGTCTTTTTCTCATTTTCAATTTTTACAAATATTATACATGTTAGAGCGAAATTGAGCTTTTTGGCATAAAGGAAATTCTTTAAGTGATTGAACACTCTATTAGCTATGCTGTCATTTTGTGAGGTAATGAAAGAGTGGGTAAAGATTCCATTTAGTAAAATCCTGTAAAACAGTAAGACAGTGCTGATTGCAAAGTTAATTACAGACTAACTTGATACGGCAAGATATTTAATAACAATTACTTGTAAATCTTTTTACCAATAATGTATACACCATCAAATATATTCTCAGTAAATCTGGTAAAATTAACTTCTGACATTAAGTTTATGAAAGAACTGTCATATTTGTTTCAATGACAATCTACTGCCAGAAAAGGAAATAATTTGTCAGTTATTTAATTATTAAATAAAATTTACAAATATATAGTATTTGTTTTTCTTTGAGAGAGAGGTGCATCCCATTCTGCCAGCATTCTATAAATAAATGAGCTTTGTGAAATTTGCTTGTTTAAAAAGAAATCAAATAAAAGCAAGCAAGGTGGAGTGTGGCTTTCTGTGACAGACTTAATTTGGTATCGAGTCATAAAAGCAGTTACATCCCCTGTTTATGATTTTGTAGCAGACTGGTTTATGAACTGTAAATATACACCTAACGTATTTAAGTAGAAAGAACAATACAACTATTGTAGCAACCTGTTCGAGCAGGCACAATTTTCAAGTTTGAACCTTCACAATTTACCTCGTTAATTTGGTAAATTTCATTGCCCAGTCAACCACTATATGTGCAGTAACCGATCCTATAATCAGAGAGAAAATCTGAAATCATGGAGTTACAATATAGGTGAGTAAATTCAAAATTGTGTCATATTTTGCCAGTTTTTGTGACTTTAGCTTTGTTTCAATTTTATGATTTAAATATGTTAAAATATGACTTTGTAATGTTGCTTCACCCAATGATTGAGATGGCAAAGCTGCAGATCATTATTTTTTTTATTGCTACACTTGCCAAATCAATGCAGTGCTATCACTTAACAATATGGTTACAAAATTATAAAGTTATATGCACACTTGGAAATCTCATTTCCGTTATTCTTAGGGTATTTTTCCTCTCGCATATCAAATCAACAATTGTTCAGAGGTTGTTATTTAATTCTTTTCATCATCAAAGAAGATGGCCATTATTTTAATTCAAAATGTCTTAAGGTACATAATCAGTTTCATCAGATTTTTGTTGTTCAAAACTCACAAGTGCCATTCATCTGACATGTGCTGTAGACCTTTCAAAATGAATAGTAAAACTAAAATTTAGGGCTCATTAAAGGATGATCTTGAATAACTCTGATGATTCCTGGACTTGATAAGTGATTTTGGAATAATGAACAGAAACTGAAATGCTTTTGACAACCAGTTAAATACTCTGATTTTTTTTTTCCTGATTACATAGTACATGTTCCTGTTATCCATTTCCGTGGATGATACCTGAATCACACAAGAAGCAGAAGAGGATGCATAATTTTATTCTGAGGAATTTGTTTAGCAGAAGTGATTAAGAGTAATTCTAATGGCATTCTTGTTTTCACCTAATAGTTTATGATTAGAGTCTTTTCTCACACCATCCAACCCCAAATGGATTTCTACATGGAAGTAAATTAGTGTAACATTTCCAAAGCAATACATAACAAAAGTATAAGGAGTTTGCACACAGAATCCCATTCATATGCTATTATTTTTATCTGATTAAATATTATTAAATGATTTGATGACTTCAATCTTTTTTATTATGACAAAAGATCTCATTTTAATTGATGTTCACCAAATATTAACATTTTCATTTTAAGATTTGATATTACATACTTTTTGCACATCAAGAGCTAGAAAAATGGAGGTATGTGACCTTGTATAGAATAATTCAATCGATGCCATATCAGTTCTTCTGATACAACTTAGGCCAGCTTTGTTTGCAAGGCTGCACAAGCTTCTAATCAGTGAGCTTGTCGCAAGCTTGCCACAAGCTTCCCTATTACTAGCATGCACAAGCTTGCAATTGGCAAGCTAGCGGCAGTTTCAAATCTAAGCTTGCAATTGACAAGCTTGCACAAGCTAGCTTCTGTTTTAAATCTACAAAACAAGCTTGCCACAACCTTAAAAATAAGCTTGCAATTTTGGTTTGGGTGCAGGACTAGCATTCTCTTTAAAGAGCTTTACAGTATCCAATAACGTGCTAAATGTGACGAAGAATTGAACCAGGATGATTTCCAAGTTATATAGCTCCAAACTGATTAACTTCCAGGTTTTAAGCAGGGACAATGTATAGATCACTGGTGGGAATTGTTGATATTGTTGCCAGATACCCATGTCTATCAAAGATAGCCATATCTTTGTAGAATTTTTTTTTGCCTATAAGTAGATTCATCCTTCAATGTCATGAGTGGTATTATTGTGTATATCATCAAAATATTCTAGGTGATAGAATTCACTCTAAAACAAGAGCAATTATATGATAAATGTTTGTTTATGGAACAATGACTAATTCAAGTCACCACAACAGCATCATGGTTTGTATATTAAACAAAAATCTAGTCTGCAGTACAACAGTGACATAGGCAGGCTCCTAGCATTTATTCTTTTCATAATTAATGTCTCAAATGGATGCTTTTCTGTAATTTTGCATCTTTGTCAAAGTTGAATTTTTCAATGCAAGATAATTTATATGTTTATGTGTTCACAGATGGCTGTGCATAAGTTCCAGTCTTGATACTTTATTTTTAAAATCAATTATTTAATGTCAAGCCAGATTCTTCACATGTAGTATATATTAAATATATTGTACATAACAGACAAAAGACCTCAAGTTAGCTTAGCTCTG